GCGCCTCGCTCTCCTCACGTAGGCGGTGCTTCCTGTCGCTGCTGCTCGTTGTGTTCACTGCTGACCGTCTCTCAGAGCCCCGCCCAGAGCGACACGTTAGACGACCTCAGCTGATTTTATTTCTGAGGTCTCGGGGACGGAGAGAATCTGAGGATCGTTTAAAATGCTGAACTTTTCCTGCTTTTCCACTGAACACACGAATCTGCACGAATGATTCGATACAACTAAGACGACACGACTCACACACGTCATGCATCACGACGACACGCACAGACACACTCAGGACACACCCACATCTAGAGGGGAGCGGTTACCTGCGGTGGAGGTTTTAGAGCAGGGTCTGGGGGGAGTGGCTTAGTGGGAGGAGCAGGTCTGTCATGAACCTGATTGGAGAGGAAACAGGAAGCAGAAGCAGAGTGACAGCTGACAGACTCAGAGGTCAGAGGCCAAACGGGCAGGTGTGTTAATGTCAGACAGAAGAGGCAAAGCGATCAAGTGCAGGTGTTGGAGCGCGCCACTTCCTCTGAGCCGTCGGCGACGTTTCACTTCATGTTTCTGCGAAGCCGCGCCCACTTCTGCTCGAGTCTCAGTATTCATTTTACTCACTGCAGACAGGAAGTTTACTCAGAACGGAGCAGGGAGAAGGAAGCGGCGCCACAGCGCACAGTCATATATGGTCAAAGTAACACGAGCGTCTGTGATGTCATTCGATACAAGAAGAGAAATGTGGAAATATATTTTGGGAGCTCACTGCAGGATGCAGGGCCTCTGAAAGAGCCTAATATTTAGCAGGATGTGGTTTAGAAGAACTGGGTGTGTTTTAAAGGAAACGTAGGTGTTAGTGGATGAAAATAACCCCAAACCACGAGTGGTAGACCTCACTCACAGAACCAACAAAACCTCCACAGTTTGCTTCAAATCTTCACTCTTAAAAAGACCGATTTCAAAAATACAAAATTCGCTCTCCACCCTTAATGCTCGCTCAGGCGCTTCGCCATGGCGTGCTGCACCTCTCCAGCTGCAAACATCTGCAAACGGTCAGTGTCGGCGTGTCTGCACGGTTACTCTGGTTACCTCTTTTTGGGGCGGGGTCAGCGGGATGTCCGTCTGAGGGTTCAGGTGGTATCTGAGAGGTCGGACCTGCTCTCCGTTCCTGCCGTCCACTCGCTCCATCGCCGGAGTCCTGGATGAGAAGGCGAGTAAATCAAAGAGACGGGCGGCTCAGAATCTCTGTGATGCTCTTATTTTATTACAGTTTGTTTTAGAACAGCTGATCTAAAGTCACCACATGTCACTACCTGCCTACAGGCCACGTACACAACACCAACCGCACCAGTTAAAGCTGCTGCAGGTTTGTGGGGGGTGGACACGAGGAGCTCGGGGTCTTTTTGGCTAAATTTAACAGCACAACTTTTGTTTTTTGCTTTTTTAGATCTATAAATCATCAGTGAAAAAATGTAACGTAGAACAAACATTACGAGGCTGCTTCTCAGTTTGCTGACTGGAAAAACAGATTTTTGAGACATTTTTCAAGTCAGTGCTGAGGAAAAGAAACAGCTGATCGTGAGGAGTCAGGTGGGAAGGATCCAGGTAAGACTTGAAGCTGCGCCAGGAAACCGCGTCCGGAGACTTAAAGTGAGTGCTTAAAGGAGCCTCCAACTCTGACTTTGTTTAGTTTCTGCAGGAGGAGGCGTGGACCCGCACAGCTTTAAGCCCTGACGAGGTTCTGCTCCACAGGTGAGAGCAGGTGAGAGCAGACGGTCAGAGAGGTGAAGGAAGCGGCGAGCGTGTAAACGACAGCAGAGACACTTTATCAGCATCCATCAGCCCAGCGCTTCATCACCTCTCTGACTCTAACGGGACAGAGCACAGAGCAGGACCCTGCAGGTCCAGCAGTACCTGGAGACGTGGGTGGGCGTTACCTCCAAACCCCACATCTCACAGTCAGCCACACTGCATCGTGGGTAAGAAAGAGCACATCAGAACCAGGCTGCAGGTGGAGAGAGGCGGCATACCTGAAGCTAACTGTTTCACATGAGGAAGACTTCACTGGTTTATCTTCATCAGTAACA